TTTCATTGTGGAGTAAATTTTTTATAAGTCAAATTAAAGGTAGTTTCATAAACTTTCGGGGGAATTTTTCAGAAATTAGTTATCTCTTTGTAATCAAAAATTATTTACTGGTACAGTGTCTGAAAATGCAATTTTCACTATTTTGAAAATTTTTTAGCCTTACTCTACTACTTAGGTGATATTATGACCGAATTCTAAGTGAATTCCAATATGAGGACCAATGTAATAGATAAATTTCTACGAAATTTACCTAAAATCTACACTCTGAACTTAATTTAAATTTGTCGGATCTCTGTTTTACGAACCGCTACAGAGTTATTTTAGTTTCAAAAATAGTCAATAGATGGCGCCACATACACAATATGCTAGTTAATTTTAACTCCATTTTGTATGATCTTTTGATAAATATTCATGAAGTAATAATTTAATGAAATATTGAAAATAATATTTCTTTTACGCAAAAATGAATTTCTGAATTAATTTTCCATTTGTAATGACTTTTTTTTTAAAAAAAGCACACCCTAAGGACAAAGGTGTGCATAATTTAAAGTATTTTCTATTCAGTTAACATAAAAAAATATCACGTTATTTATGTACTTTTAAGAAATACATTGCATTTAAAATCAATCCTTGTTTCTATTCACCGGATTTTTTATTTTTATATTTGACTGCTTAATTATAGATCTCGGTTTTCCATTAGCAGGCGCAATACGTCCCTGTGGGGCTACTAAATGTAAAATAGACATTTGCAGCCTCAATATATGGGTTAAATATTCCCAAGTATGTAAACTACCGTTTTACGTAGAATCACAACAGTGCATATCTATTTCTTGTGTAAACAAAAGTATTAATTTCAGTTATTCCTACAAACTCTTTGTTCATGCGAATAAAATGATTCTAGATTGCAGAAATTTGACGTCAGAGATTTTGCTTTTTATAATAACTGAAATATTGTTAAAAATTTAATTACTAAATTCCATTTGTTGCTCAGAAAAAAGTTAACAGTAATTATTTTCCCGGGTTATTAAAATTTATAGAATATTGAATTAAAAAAAGTATGACTGTACTTGAAAAAATTTTAAAGTTACTTACTTCAAAATTAAACATAATAACAAATTCTTTTATTAAAAATTCAATGAGCATTATGAGTCGTAGAATTTTGAATTTTCCAAACTTTATTAATTTACTGCTTTTCATAATTGACGTTAACACTGAATTTTTGAATTTTAGTACGGATAAAACTAACACTTAAGATAAGAAATTTATCGATTTAAATTATTCATAATTTATCCTTTGTGTAATTAAATTAATGCACTAATGAATAAAGTGAGCGCATTTTAAAGACCCTGAAGTCACAACCTGATCCTTGGTACAGAAAGTATCACCAACTGAGTGCGTATAGGCGACTGGGGGGTGATAAGTGATAATAATAGCAGTATAAAGTTCTTCCACAAAGAGTAGTGTAACATATAATAAAGGCTTATAACCATCAGGGTATCAAAGTGAAAAGCTTCAAGTTCTTGATGAAAAGGTTTCATAAAATATATATGAATATTATAAAACTATTATAGACTATATAGTATAAACCTTACAAATATTTCATTATTATTAACATAAAGTGTGCGATATTAAAAGACTTTGATTTTCCAACATGACCTAATTAATTTTGTGCTTTACCTTTACCTTTCGCTGTTACAGCTTTGAAAATTCATGTCAGTCCAAAGACCAAAGAGATATTGGACACCTTTGGAACATTTGAAGTCTGCTGTCGAGGTGAAGTTACTCTGAAGGTAGATCGTTTATTTTGTTTCTACATGGAAAGAATTTTTTTTTTTATTTACTGTTAAATCAGACCATGAATTCTAGAACGTACCGCAATTACTGTCATTTTCACAGTAAAAGAAAAATTTTTTTTCCGTACAACAATTTTGAATTGTAAAAAAATCTCAGTAATTTTAACACAATCCATCTTTGAAAATTACTTCAGGGCAAGGGTAAAATGATAACTTACTGGCTGGTGGGTGAAAAGCCGATAAACAACAATGTCCAGGAGAGCAATCCGAATCCGAGCAGCGAGCAGAGCCCCCAGCAGCCTAAGTCTGACCAAGTTCAAGGATCTCAAAGTACTTGCTCAAGAAACATGTTAAATATGGCCACGGGGAATGGCGCACCGGGGAACCATCCGCTAGTGTCGCCCTCTCACCAGCGGAACTCTCCGAACCAGTTTTCTGGTACAGGTAGCGACAATGTTCCTAATCACACCGAAAGCGGCGCTAATGCTCCTTTGTTACTGTCTACCGGATCTTCACGAGCTTAAATTAATAATTACAACAATTATAATAACAAAAAAAAATTTAATAATAATAATAATAATAATAATAATAATAATCCAAAATGAGTAATAAATAAATTTCATCTCATTCTCTAGCTTGAAATCAAAGAAATAAACTGATCAGCTGATAAATTAAGCAACGAGACTTCTTTAAGTGCTGGAACACTTACTGAACAATAAATTAAAAATCATCATGCATTTATTTATTTATTTTTTTGTCTCTAGTATTATAAGTAAACTACATTACCGGTGAGCCATTCGAGGCAATCTTTTATGATAATGGTAACGATAACGATAATGATGATGATGATGATGATAATGATGATGTAGAAGCATTAGGATGAATGGAAACAAAAATAGGAGATGGATGAAGGAAGAGGGTTAAAGTTATTTAGTGTAACGAAGTTGTTAGAACCAGAATGCTCGAGTTGAATAAAATTCAGGAAAAATAGTGAAGCAATCAACCTTCTTAATGGGAGGCCGAGGGGCTTAAATGTCAAGGCTGGGCGATTTAATCGATAAATGAACAAAAATTGTGTGTAATAGAAGAGCTCCGCTCAAATATCTGATAAGGTTTTGCGTGAGTTGAGGAAAAAAGTAAAGCCAAAGGTGAAAATCCGTCTATCGTGGTGCTACGTAATTACTGGAATCAACTCGGGCGTTTAATTACGTTCGTCAGCTGAGTTCGGTTGACGGTGGAAACAAACGGGTTTAATGAGGTTCTTATCAGGTCAATTTTCTTGGCTTAAATAAAAAAAAAAAAAAAAAGTTAATTATAGTTTTGTGAAGAATTGTTTTATAAATTGAGTTGGGACAAACGGAAACAGAAAATAAAGTAATAAAATATTATAATTTTGAGGATAAATTCTATTTTCTGTTGAAAATGTGACGCGAAATACTTGCTAGGGATAATAAATCACAGTGTTTAGTTTGGTTTAAAACATGAGCTAGACGGTATAAAATAAAAGACAAGATAAATAGTATTTCTAAATAAAATGTTTAAGGGCAAGAAAAAGTTTACGGAAGAATACAGTCAAGGTGGGACAGTAACAAATCTTGACGAATCGTTGAGAAAATTACGCTCTATTCGTGTCTATTTAAGATTAATCGATTCCAGAGAATCAAAGATGTCGCTCCTCTGACAAACATTATTAGTTAGTCTGATAAGCTTCACGAACGTAATTATAAGCATATTATATAATATATAAATATGGTTCATGCAAATTTGGTATTTAAAATTCTATCTGTTAAGTAAGCTTTTGAAGAGTCAAAATAGTTTGTACGAATATCGAAAAAAGAATGAACGTAATTAAAAAAAAAAAATGAATTTTTTAAGTTAATATAAGTTTTTTAGCGCCCTATAGTACAGTAAATAGAATTTTATTTATATTTTCGCATAGATTTTAGTAGACGAAGACTGAGGCGCCACCTTCTAGTGATCTCGAACGACAGTCGATATCAAATCGATTAAAAATAATCTGGACTGCATTAACTCGGAATGTTTATTTTTAAAAATAATTAATGTGTCTGCTCGACGGGGCTAAAAAATAGAGTTATAACTTCCAGTTTAAATATATTTATTACAATTCAACTTAAAGGTATTGAGCCAACATCTTAAAAAGGGTCATGTCTTGTATTTTTTTAAAGTTTCAAATCTTTTATAATTGATAACTTTATTTGTAACAGTCTATTCGCTGTACCATTTAAATGTTTATTATTTCTACAAACGTGATTTAACGTGACTTAGTAATTTGATTTATAAACTTAATTAGCATGAACCATTTTTGTATAATTATTAATTAATATTAATAGATAAAATAATGACAGTATTAATACTCATTTACTCATCATTAACTCATTTTTTAAGTATTAATTAATACGGACAAATGTTTAAATATTAAAAATTTTCGCAGGACCTAAGACATCATTTTGAAATAAATTTTAATAGTTTATCAATAATAATAATAATAATAATAATAATAATAACAATAATAATAGTAATAATAATAATGATAATAATTCATTAATTTTAATTGTATATACACAATTATGTATACAAATAATTACTATTAATAATAAAATCTAAGAGAGAGAAAGACGTAGTAAATATATAAATATATATAAAAATTAATGATAAATATAAATACATATGATTCAAGATAAACGTATGATAAAAATTATAAATTGTTATATAGAGGCTGGGCCTTAAATTTTTTTTCAATTTAATTATATTGAGCATGGAATGAATGTTGAGTTTATTAATGTTAATGAATTGTATTATTATAAATTATAATTACAAACAATAATTGATAAGTATAATTTAAAAATAAATGAAATAATAAGATCAAAGCTAATGAAAGGTATAATAAGAAACAAAGCGCGATTGGGCGACCTGGAATGGAAGTATTGAGTCAAAAAATGGATAAATTAGTATTTAATTGATAAATAATAATTAATAATGAATAATAAATAAAAAAATCTATAGAGAAGTAAGTGAATGTGGTGAATGGAATTATGTAAATCTGTGTGTATTTATCTCGAAAAATATGATGAATTCTTTCACAATGTAACGAATTAATATTGCCGAAATAAAGTTTAATTGTTTTCGAAATTTTGTGTTCTATGTTTATTTGTAGTTTGTGTTTTAGAATGAAAAGTTGGAAGATTTCTAGAAGATGGCGTTGCCGAATATCCAGTCGAGGAAAGAGCTGACGTCTGTATAAATCCCGGGATGCCCTGGATCACCACACCGGATGCCCCATGATACTACTCCGATGTTGACCCAACGCCCGTTGCCTAATTGATGGAGGAGAGGTCCACCTGAGTCACCCTAAATAAGATATTAGAGTTATGTGCTAGAGATATAACTTATGTAAGAGGTACATATCATACATTTGAAGATTACTCAGTTAAATGTGGGTTTTAACCCGAAAAACATCTGAGTAAGGAGTTTTTAGACTGAAATAAATTTTATTTAGTTAAGCCAAATTTCACTAACAAATACTTTAAACAATTTGTCTTAAGTTAAAATTTCTTAATAATTATATTTTTTTTTTTAATTTGACTTTTGGAATATTGAACGAAATTTTCATAAAGATTTTTTTTTCTTTTAGTCGTTGATTAATCTTAACGTAAAATCTTAACGTAAAATGTAAAAAACAAAGAGTTATTAGCATTACTACGTTTAATTAAATAAAATTAATTAGGGGAAAAAGGGGTCGGTTGAACCACTCGAAAAATCAAAAAAATGCTTTATCCTCTTAAAATTAGATTCTAATATGTTAAACTCTAATATGATTTTGATCAAAAGTTGAAATCATTGCGATTGATAAATTTTGATAAATTGAGATTTTTAGGCACGTAAACTTTTTTTTCGGCTGGTGACAAATTGTTTAATATTATTTTAATTTTTGAATTAATTGATAAAGTTTGAATTGTAGTAGCTGTACATACTTCCCCTATGAAAAAAAATATATGTTTCCAAAAAAATAAGCTCTTCTTCCTTTGAGCAATTAAATCAACAAAATCACCTATAAATATCTACTCGCATTGTCCCAATAAAAAATACCTGACAGGAGTCTCGTCCACCCTCGTAACCTCCCGCACAAATTATGGAATCCGGCAGTCTCTGGGCCAAAGTATGGGCACACCTGTGCTTCGGCCACACTGGCACCGGGACTTCCATCAAGATCGAACTCTGCGGACCGGCGTAGTACTGGCTGCCCCAACCTGCCGAAATTTACAAAACGGAAATGAAACATGGGAAACAAACAATGAAACGAAATAGCAAAAAAGCCGCTCGCTTCCTTCTATCGGCGATTGATATTAATTAGCGTGGTCAATAAAGTCACTGGTTACTCATTTCATTCATTCGTGGGTTTAATTAAACGAAAAATTGAAATTTTTAGGGAGAAAATTCTATGAGAATTCGAATGATTTTGTCGGATTGTTACGTAGGAGACGAAGGTATGTAATTTAATTGAATTAGTTAGAGACCAACAATGCTGCATTCAGCTGCTAAATTTATCTCTATTGAAGAAAAATCATCCGCAAATATTTATGGTCAGTATAATTTACTGGATTCAGTTAACTGGAATGCAAGCGAAATATTCCGTGATTTTAATTTTTTTTTGTTCATTGTGGATTGTTGTAGCTTCAAATTCTGCTGGATAACGCTTGTGGAAAATTAAAAGAATGTTAAATGACCCATTTTATTTAGCAGGAAAATAGGATGCGCTTCAATGCTTGCTATTTATTTTATAAATTGCTGTTGAAACTTTGAGGTAAACTTTAATTAAGCAAAAAAGTAATAACGAAAAAAAAATTTGATGCATGAGTTTTTAAATTAAAAATAAATATTAACTATTTCGTATAGAAGTTTTGTTTATTTTTCAAGCAACTTTCATTGTCAACTCGCAAATATTTGCTGAGGTACTAGATAAGCGGGCTAACGAAAAAAATTTTAAGTTTTCAATTCTAATGGAAAATTAAATTAATAGTTTAAATAGATAATTAGTATAATTATGGATTGAAATTAAAAATTATGAACTATTTTTGTCTGATACTTGTGATTGTTAATAATTAATAGGTAAATGTTGAGGATACATACCAATGACGATAGCATTTTTATTTTCAAAGGAAGTCCCTTCAGGCGGTAGACAAATTGGCCAGATGTAGTTGTTAAAGATAGTTGGCCGGTTAATTTTTAGTATTGCAATGTCATTCTCGTAACTGGACGGATTGAAATTTTCATGAATCTTGACATCCACTACTCTGAAGTCCAGAGATCGTGTTTCATCGGGTCGGGAAAAATCGTATTCACCCAGTCTGACTATTATGTTTCTTATTTTAACTCTATGAACAATTTAAATTTAAACTTATTATTATTATTATTATTATTATTATTATTGCTCGACAGTCACATAGTACTAGTCATTGTGATGATCATAACTTAAAATTTCTACCAAAATTTCCATGACAAAGAACCTACATTGGTTAAAACAATATCAGAGAAAAGGCCGAGGAAAGAATAAATTTATAATTTTAAGAGAAAGCTGTAATATAACTAACTCTCTATCAGCTTCTTCGGAGGATTAGTTGTTTGTGTTGCTGTTGATGACCTGTGTACCGAAGCGACGTACGCTATACACTACTATCACATAACTACAAATATCTGTGGATAATAGCCACGAGTATCGGCAGATAACCACGTGGTTGTATTTTATCTAGCTTCCACAAATCTACGATGTATTCAAGGCCGTTAGTCTAAGACCTCAGACCGAACTTGTACTTTGCCAGTTTCGTTGCGAGAGTAGTATTATATATGTGTGCATGTATGTAGAATATAGCAAGAATAGACTGAATAGAACGAGAAGCTAACGCCAAGTATGAGAAGAAATGGGAAACGGTTATACGTGACAGGAATGGCTAACTAAGACTATACCGTTTATATTATCCTAAAGTAAAACTCACTAACTACTTAAAAACACTTATACTTACACTTACACTTGTTATGTATTATTCTCTTTATCCTGCAGATGGTGGAGTGTGTATTATATTATATACCTCTTACTATATAAGGCGCAAGTGCAAGAGTAATATAATATGGGAACGTGTAAAACTGCGGGCTACTTATCTAAGTCATTGTCATTTTCACAATGACATTTGTCGAGAGAGTTTGCCGAGATTTCACTTAAAATTATAGATAATCGGCTGTTGTACAAGAAACTTTCAACTGGTGTTCGGTGTATAGTTTATAGGTTGTTTTTTTAGATTGTTTCATTTATTGGAATAGAACAAGGAAGACGAAATTTGAGCTGTAACGGGTCTAATAATATTACAAATTAATTTTAAATAATAATCACTTTTTTTCGTCAATTATAACTCACGACCGGCTTGGCGGCGATCGACGTGGTTTTTTAATGTTAAGATCTGATAAGTTTTTGGAATCGATCGGTAGAGCTGTTTAAAAGTTATTCCAAAAAAACCACATTTGAAAAAATTTTTTTTGCTCGACGGGCAGAAAGCGTCAAATTTCGGCCCTCTGCGCTAAACCAAATTGCCACTTTCTGCCTTCGTCGAGCAAAAAAATAGCATACACTCCTCGGCAAGTAAATAAGAAAGCCTCAGATCACATGTTTGTTGGCCGAGGCGAAGCCGAGATTACATGTGATCTGAGACATTTCTTACTTTACTTCCCTCGGTGTGTAATATACTATGACCATCCAAGTATCTAACATTTTTGGCAGAAAGGCTTATCATTTTCAGTATATTTAATATAATTTCAAAATTACCAACCCATACAAACAATGAGCAGCAGTAAGTACGTGTCTATCAGTGATCAAAACTCCTCCGCAATACTGATCAGAGTCTCTCCTAATGAGCGCGACCATCCACGGCCATTCTTTAGGATTAGCTGGTTGCCCTCCGACAACTCTGGTCCATCCTTTGGAGCTGACACCACAACCTCTTGGGCCGCGACCAGTTCTCCAAGTGTCCTTGGTAAAATTGCTCTTTTCTTCAAAAATCCTACCATGTCCTAAAACAAAAAAATCATCAGCTAACATTTTGAATAAGAAATTCTGAATTTCCGTCAACTATAGAAAAAGAACAATGAATAAACTCCGCACAAAACATCCACCCGGAAGCTGTTTTTAGCAAAAAATTACCAATAGTATTGAATAGAATTGGGTCAGTATGTCCATGATCAGCATGTCCATATCCAAGCAACGACACAGCCAACAAATGAAACAAAAGTGCTAGCAAAACTCTCTCTCGAGTGTGTTGTTGCATTTTTTTATTTTGTTGTACACTTTTCAGTTCACTCTTTCAAAGCTCACGGATCCACCATTTATCGGGAGATTTTTATGTTCGTGCATACTCTTTCTTCACTGTCCATACCACTTTTCAATTTAACAGAATAGAATAAAAAAAAAACACTAATGACATAAATATCAGCTTGCATATGCAAACTTTCGCGGGATTAGAGACAAAAAAAAATTCAAATGCCAGCCAACAGATGTCGTAAGCTGTTTAATCACTCGGATGTACTATGTAGATTGTCGGATTTCTGGAAAGGAATCGCGGATTATAATCCTATGCCAATCACAATCACTACTGGAAAACGCTGGTGATGTTAAAAGAGGATAATTGTATTAATTGTACGAGAAAAAAAAGAACGTGCTTTATAGTACTTCGAAGGTACAATGATACAAGTGTTGCTCGTAGATTGAACCGTGTAAAACTGAAAATATTGAAGCACGAAGATAGAGAGGGTCTTGAAGTGAATCTCACACAGACAAGACCTCGAGTAACTGGACCTATCATAAATATTAAATGCTGAGGATTGTTATTATTATTATTTTACTTGTATTTTAAATATTCACACTTGGGCTGAGTCAACTTTGGTTTTGTATTGTATTGTATTGTATATCATTTTTTTTTTTTTTTTTATGTATTGTATTATATTGTATTGTATAAGTGTGACAAGTAATACTTAGCGTCAGCGTGAAATCATCCATCATACAATTAGTTGTTTAACAAGGTGTTTTATTTGATAAGTGTGTATTTATGTTAAAATATCAAATTATAATAATAATACGGTTTATATTGATCTGAAGTTTTTTTTATAATATTCAGTTATTGATGCTAGTCGTCTGCAATTATAATGATTATTTTCATTGTAACTCTATGATTTTGGGAGTTTTTTTATAGGGTAGCCAAAAGTGGAGGGTTTAATGTACGATTTTTGAGTATTTATAGAAAAAAATTGCAACATTTTTAGTCTAAGGCAGTTCTATTAGCATGATTTCACTTTTGAAAAATTTTTACCATGTTTTTACAGTCGATGAATAATGTTCATTTTGAAATCCCAAAGTTGCAAAATTTTTAGCTATTCAGAGTGCGAGATTGAACATCAAAAGATGAAAATGAATTCTATATCATTTTTTTTTATGACTATTGCTGTTCTTCCTTCTCTGCTTGGGCCGGTTCGGCTTGTGCGGATTATTTCATGTCCATCTATTGTAAATTTATGTTTAAGGTTGAGTTTGGTTTCTGTAACCAGGGTAATATCTAGGTTATTTTCCCGAATTAATTTCATGAGGTCGTATCTCCTTTGGTGTTTTATCCACAGATTCGGTAGAATCTGGCGCCAAGTTCCGTTCAAATCCGTTGTCAACGGAGCGCTAGACTACCGACTGTGTTTACTGTAAGCAGAACGGTATTTTGAGGTTGCAAAATTTTATTTAATTCTACGGTAATTTTTTTTCCTAAATTTTATATTATAACAGTAATTCATACTTTAATTTACTGTTATTAATTAATTATATTCACTTATAACAATTAATCTACTTGAAATTAATAAATTTAATCAGCACAAACTATAGCAACGCAAAAATTTCGATCCTGACTTTTTTTCGATGGGCAAAGTGATCAGCCACAGACTAAATAATTCGAGAATACATAGTAATCCTTCATTAGATGGGAAACTACAGTCAAAAAAAGATATTTCACAGCTTGCATATACACCCGCCAGGGTGCACTGGAATTATTTTTACATAAACTGTAGCTGCAAGGGAATAGTTTGCTATAAAAATGCAGCCAACGCGAGATTTAAATTGATACCAATTGTAAATTTTTACTAAAATTACAAAAAATACTAAAATCCGAACAAAAAAAGTTTCACTGTAAAAAAATCGCGCCAAGTCCACGTTCATAAAGACTATTAAGAAAAAAAAATTAGTTTTTTCTTTACAAAAAGAGATAGAATAAAAAAATTAAAAAAATTAAAAAATCCAAGTAACCGATATGACTGTTTATGATTGTAAAATATTTTGCAACCGCGCACACTAAATACGTTCCAAAATTGTTTTTTTAATTTTTAAATTTACAACAAAATTTTTTTTAATTTCCGAAAATCATAAACAATCATATCGGTTACTTGGATTTTTTAATTTTTTAATTTTATATCTTTTTGTAAAGAAAAAAACTAATTTTTTTTTCTTAATAGTCTTATGAACGTGGACTTGGCGCGATTTTTTTTACAGTGAAACTGTTTTTGTTCGGATTATTGAATTTACATTTATCGCTGCTATTTTTATGATTTTTCGAGAGTCTTCCATGTAGTAAGTTCTTGTGGTCTGTTGTGTTGATTGCTCAGGTGTCATTGTTGTTGTATTTCGACGTCATTTATCTCTAATAAATAATTTATTATGGTGTTATTTTGGTTAATTTGTTGTTCTAGAGCTGTTACTGTTTCTAGTAGTTCTCTGACCCATTGAGATGGAGTTGTTGCTTCATCTGGTTTGGAAAGTGTTGCTGGGAGTTGGGGTTCAACACATCAGCATAAAGTTGATTTGGGTCTTCATATCTGTTGATTTTCTGTACTTTTGAGAGGAGTCTTGCTCTTTTTTCATATTTTTCCTCTTTGACCAGCTTTATTGCGTTTTTGTAATATTCACAACCTCTGCAATTCACCGATGAAAGGATGAAAGTAGTGTGCACATAAAAAGATAAAGAAATAGTGATAGATGTTGAATGTCTAAGTTGATGAATTTTGAAGTTTTTTCAAACGATAATTTATGAAAATTCTTAGTATTGATTTTGTTGACGATATTAATGATGAAAAATAATAATAATAATAATAAGCTTACATATTTCTATGATAAGTATAAAATAACAATGTAAAGAGTTTGAGCATGAAACGAGAAGACCTCGGGGTCCAGTTCACACCTCCGAGAACACCCACATGCATGGCACGTTTTATACTGGAATTTTCACAAGACTAAGAATAACAATAATAAGAAGAAGCTGAAGAAGGTAACGGGGTCTTTACGTACGTGATGTAGTACTGTCAGTACCTGTATGTATATGACACAAACATCCACATAAATCCATCATTTTATTTTAATATTTTTTATTCACCATAAACCTGTCAATATTTCATTCAATAATTGTTCAAAATAATTTCAAGCATGTTTCGCACCGAAAACCCTAACAGTTGATAACTCAAACACTTTCTTTGCAATAAAAAATTTTTGACAATTCACCACTCTCTAATGCTTCATGATAAAATTTTTGATTATTCTTAACCGATAAAAAATCCCGTAGCTTTTCCTCGTTTTCTCCGATAATAATCGAATTTTATCGAAGTACAATATTTTTCTTTTATTCCTTACGTCAGCGAAAGTAAATCAAATTATTAACAAAGTATTACTGCGTACCAATAATTTTCAATTCAATTAAGAGCTTTGAATATTTTTAAAAGAAGATTTTGCTTCAAAAAATTTCGGGATAGGGATCCGAAAGTTTTTCTCTTCGCGCTCATCAAAATCAATATTTTTTCGACGCCCTCGCTCATATTTTTTTAATAAATTACAATTGCCATTAATTCGATATTTTTTCATAAGAAAAAAAAACAGACATCAACATCACTTACAAGTAAATCAATAAATAAATTTGTGGCAAGTAATTACAACTTAAAAAAAAAAATAAAATTTAATACTTACTTGGAGATTCATGATAAGATATTTTAAAATTATTAATCAGTAACACGAGCCTTCTGGGTTGGTTGTTTGTCTTTGATAATTACCATTAACCGTTATATGTCTTTATATCGTGTACAGTCTGCAGTATATAATAGTTTATACGGCGTCGTGGTTTGTAGGAATAAAACGTTAACACCTACGCGCAAATAATAGTCCAGTATAACGTTAAATTAACTCGTCCGAGACTTAATAAATAAATAAATAAAGTAATTACTTCAATGCAGATTAATTAAAAAATCAAAGCTGACGGTTTTATCGAGCAGACACTTTTGACCGTGTTTCACAAATTTACGCATATGTAAATATATAGAACATCACGGATGATTGAAAATTGCAGCATGCACGCACGCAAAATCTGATGGCCTCATTGTAAGAAAACACACCGGAGATCAGCTCCTGGTTACCCGATAACCGATAAGTGTGTCATACAAGAGTTTGGTCTTTCTTCACTTTATCATATTATATTATATTCTACTCTACTTAGTTCAATCCTTAATCTACAGGACCAAGAGAACTAGATTACGCTTTTATTTGACGCACTGTTAATCTGAAAATCACTTTGTCAATAAGAGTGTTGAAAACGGAAATTGAATTCGTGGGGTTAGAAATATTCTTTAGTTTTAATCTTCATGAGGCCATGCAGGGATTGGAGTAGAATTTCCAATTGATTTTTAGTTCGGAGAGACTTCTTAATGAATACTATTATCTTATCTTTATTGAACATAAAATTTCCCTTAAGAACTTCACTTTACGGAATTCATTCAAAAAATTAATTTTTGTTAATGGAAATTGCTTTTTTTTGCCCAAGCTTACATTTTTACCTGAGAAATTACAGTGTTAGAAATTATCAATGAGTTTCCTTTTCTAAAAAGTTGATTGCGGATGTTTAGTTGTTTTACGTCACTTCTATGACTTTTTTATTCGGTTGTTGATTGGTCGACTGAATAATGGCGGGATTTTTTAATTGTCGGGATTCAATATTAGTTTTTTTTTTTTTTTTACAAAAGTAGATTTCCAACCTGTCGAGTGAAAAAATTTTTTTTCATTATCTAGATTACATAAATAATTTCTTAAAATACTGAATAACATTGTACGATTATTTTTTTTCTTTCAATTGCTCCCAATTACGCAACGAATTACGTAAATATTTTATGAGATCACAAAAAACGGCATTTTAATTAAATTTAATTACGATAAACTTCACTGACATTTTTAATGAAATAATTAGTCTCACAGCTCCGGGGGATGTAATTTCTTTTAAAAAAAAAATCTTTACAACAATTTCATCAGCAATATCAATGAATATTTATCCTGTAATTATACATATCATCATTTACAATTATTACGAGCTATCAATTTATCTAAAAATTGCATAGATATAAATACATCCTTCAGAATATTGATACTTGTCTATATACGTATATTATATATGATAAAATTATTCAATTAATTTAAACTGTAAAAATAAACCTTCGAATTTAAATAATCGTACCATTTATTAAATATAAATGACTTTGTATTCATTGACGTTGCTCACTTCGCATCAATAAATTAGCGATCCTCTCTCTTTCCTCAGTTTATTTTTTCAACTCAAATATAACGTGAAGCTCAAAGCCCACAAGTTATTAAAATTTTTCCAGTACAGTAAGAACAAGTTAACTTCAAATGCTACTAAATTTCGTGACAACTCTTCAGTTAATATATTTATAGATATAAGCATACATATGAATATTAATATAAATACAATCATACACAAGCCAAGGCTATGTGCATTTATTGGCAATCGAAACAATTTCTTGTACCAGCTGCATTACCAGTGGCAAAACAACTTCTTGCTACAAGACTTAACACTCTTCTATTTCTGCTCACTTATACTTTCCTTCATTCGTAGAAGATCTTTTTTTTTTGTATTCCGTGTTTATTCATTCAATGCTTTTTTGAAACTTGGCGTACAGTTAACTTATATTTGTAACTATTACAAAAAATTTCATCTTTCTTTGACACTTCAAATGGCACGTCTTCATTGGGCAAAAAATGACGTCCGTCTACAGACGATCGTGGTGCATTTGTGATAATATTGTTTATTATTTATAAATATTGTATAATGCATGCGCATAAAAAGAACAATGTTGACTAAAGATAAAAACGAGTAGATTTTTTTTGACTTCACATTATCGGCATTGTCACTAAAAAACAATCGGTTGTTGTTCCACCTTGCCAGTTACGAGTTTTAAATTCTGTTATGACGATAAAAAAGTTTGATTATGAAAAATTTTTGAAAAGTAAAACATACTTCGATAAACTTTTCGCTATTTTAATAATAATTAATAATCGATAATTTACTTTGTATCTTTTTGCAGCTTCTTCCGTGTGGCATCGATTGGAACGACTAATACTGTATTAACAGGGTGATGAATCCATCGTTAATGTCTTTTGATGTTTTTTTTCAAGCAATATGCAGAAATCAGTTCAAGTTAAAAATTATGAGACTACATTGTGATGTACTACAAGGTGGGTTCAAATGACAGAATTTAAAGGTCATATTTAAATTGAAGATAAAAGTGAAATTTTTGATTGCGTTAAATTGTTATTTCAAGTTAAGCAAGTCTGGTGATAAGCGAATAAATTTTATTCGAAAAGTTAAATTCAGTCTGCGGCGAACTAAACTGTTAATCAAAATCGATCAGAACTTTTATTATTCTACAATATGACGGATATATTTCGATGCAGTTGCGATAACATAAATATTATTCGTTTATTAGAGTAATGAACGATAAATACATAATCGGAAAGAGACTTAATAAACATGACATATTTATTCAAACAGATAAAATATAAGTATATATAAATAACAATGAAAAATTATAAATTTACACAATCTTTCAAATTTTGTCTCCGGGAGTTGTTATCGTAAGTGTAGTAATAACAAGTAAATATTATTGTTAACCGATAAATATATGCCGGAGTAACCTACTTTGGGCTGGAGTTACGAGATGCGGTTAACAATTATATTTTTCACGGTGATAATAACAGTATGGGCTTCAGCCCAACAGGAGTTGCCAGGTCAAGTCGGCAGTGGCTTGTCTGATACTGATGGCAATGCCGGAATCAAAAAGAGTGACCGTGGTTTTGGTTATAGTGACAGTTTTCGGGAAAATACGGCTGTGATAGACCACAAAGTTATCAAAAATCAAAAATTGAAGAGTAAACATTCATACAAGAACCATTTTCAAGCGAGAAGAAAAAATCGTTTCGGGAGAGAGAATCATCGTGGTAGTGGTAACCGGGGAAAAAATCATGGTGTTAATGCCGTAGACAATACTGTGGTCAATAATATTGAAAACAATCGTGGTCATGGCAAAATAACTAATACTGTGGTAAACAACATTAGTAGTAACGTCGGTAATTCTGATGGTATTAATTACAGTTCAAATTCAGTGAGCAGTAAAGTTCGCAGTGCTGGTGGTGATCCTCATGCTTATAATTTGGTAAAAAGTAATGTTTCTAGTATTGCTGGTAGTCATGGTAGAAATAACTATGCTTCCAACTCAATAAATAATACTGTCGTTTATTCTAATCCTACGCGGAATAGAACTTTAGTAGAAAATACTGTTTTGAACAATATCAATAACAACGTTGAAGGTAGTGATGGAAATCATCAACTTAGTTCTAATTTAGTAAATAATAAAGTTCTTAATCATAATAATAATACAGTTAAAAGTGACAGTAACGCGGTAAATATTACTGTTCCTATAGATTCTAATAACAGTGCTAAAAATACTATAGCAAAAAAAACTGTTCTTGAAGATAGTATAGATGGGAAAGCTAAAATTAATCCAGTGGTTAAAACTGTTTCTGATGATAGTAAAAGTAGGAATGCTAAAACTAATCCAGTAAACATAACTGTTCCCGATAATAGTAAAGATGGAAATACTGAATCTAAACTATTAAACAATAACGTTCTTAGTAACAATAACACCACGAAAGATGACAACAGTACTTTGGTAAATAAAACTGTTCCTGATGATAGTAAAGATGGAAATACAGATAAAAACAATACTGTTCTTAGCAATCCTATTAACACTGTGAACACTACAGTAAATAAAACTGTCCCTGATGTTAGTAAAGAAAGAAACAATACTATTCTTAGCAGTACTAATAACACCTTTGACACTGCAGTAAACAGATCTGTTTCTGGTGAGCTTAAAGATGAGCTCACTGGATTTAATTTGTTAAACAGTACTGTTCGTTGCAATAATAATTCGATAGAAAACAGTAACAGTAGCTTAGTGATCAAAACCGTCCCTTTGGATATTATCAAAAATATAACTGATGTTTCCAGTTTATCAAACAGTACTGTTGATAACGGCAATACTACTGTTGGAAACGATACTTTAATAGTTATTGTAAGTGATAATTCTACCGTACAACCCATCAGTATTAATGTCACTAGTGTCGACAGTAGTAGCAATTCAACAAATTCAAGTACCGTCAAACTTAATCCAAGAAACACTACTGAAATTGCAACAGAAAACAGTCAGAATAACATGACGGTAGTCAACACTAATAGCACGGTATCAAAAGCAGTTGACTTGAAAAAAGAGGCGGTGCTGGTTACTGTTGATGGCACTGATCGCACTGGAAGTAAAACTATTGATGCAATTATAATCGGAACTGGCAATGCTAATCCAGTGGTAAGTACTGTCAATACTCCTGCCACTAGTGTGAATATTGTCAAACCTAATACGGCGACTGCGACATTGCTTCTACAAAACGCGATTTTGGGCACCATTAGTAACCACGAAACCACTTCTGCTAATACGTAAGTGTTTCCATATTGCCGATTGATTGATAATAATGTAATCGATGTTAATTATTTAATGTTAATGTTTCTTTATCTTTCAGAGGTGGTCTTATCAATTTATCACCAGTTACCGATATTGAAGCCAAATTGGTGAACGTGGGAAATATCGTTTCCTACATGATGTATCACCCACCGATATTGTCGTTTATTCTGAAATAAATTATTATTCGATTCTTCGGAAATGTTTTTTTAAAACTTGGACTGCACAATAAAGATTTTTTAAATAGAAAGAATGACTTTTGATGGAATTTTTTCCCGATATTTTTGTAAGACAGCAGATGGAACTTCTTTGAGTAAATAAGCTCCTTTCATTCATAAATAATTCTTTTAACTCGCGTAAATTATGCATGTGCTATGTTTTTAAAAAGTTACAAGCGTGTTTGTATGTGTTTCGTTCCTATCACTCATGTATATTCATAAGAGTGTATCGAAAAGAAATCAAAATTTTTTCATTTTTATTGATCTTGAAATTTTGTAAAAATCATTTTTTATACTTTAGAATATATATCTCGTCCTATAAATAACGTACAAGAAAACATAATAGATAAACTTTTGTAGAAAATTAAATTATCTAAAAATAAGATCTCTTATCATTTTTTAATGATCAACTTCCTCTCAATACATATTTCCCTTATTTTTTAACTCCTTAACTAAATAAAAAACCCCTTTAATTATTGTTACGGCCCAACTTTGAAAGAATGAGGTATTATGGCGGCGCTGGTCATGCGCAGACACAACTTTTTTATTTATATTTTAAAAAAGTGTGGTGACAAAGGCATATAATAGAGGTACTACGATTTGATCTCTTCGGAAGAGGCGCTTCATACAATTATGATTGAACATGACTTACAGATAAGCTCGTTTAATCAGTTAAGTAATCGACATAAAATTATTCTTTAATTGAACAATAATAATTATTCTTTATTAACTGCAAGATTTTGATAAAGGCTTTCACAAAATCATTGCTTTTTGAAAATGTTGACTCATCCGTGAATGATATATTTATTTACTTACATAATGCGCATTGCCTTACTCAAAGAAAGTGCCCCTGATGAGTAATGAATCGAAAAGTATGAATAAATAAAAAATTGACCCTGTCATTCGTCATCAACATACTAAGATTCATTTTTCCATTTAAGATGGAAAAATCTGTAGTTCAATATAATTATAACATGAAAATCGATGATTTCGTTGGGACCCACGAAACATGAGAACAACAGATATTCTGATGCTGATAAGATGACCCCTACATTAATTATATACTTTATCAACAGTTGTAAAAATACATAAAATAACCTTCACTGACAGCGTCATGAAAAATATTTTCGATAACTTAAATAATAAACAGCAAATGTTTTTTCAAGAATGTAACTTGCGATATAAATATCAGACGGCGCCCAAAATATTGAACAACAGTCCTGGGCTTTCATAATTTTGGTGCAGACGCTCGTCAAGGTAAGTAATCGTTACTGGAAAACATTCTGAAAATTATAATACAGTAGTTTTGATGAATAATTATTTTTAATCATTAATGGTAATAGAAAATCGAGATGCGGCTTGCGACAGTGTTACTGACGGGTGCCATGGTGGTCGGTGCGCTCGTTGTTGATGCGAAAAGACAAGGAGAGACCGTCGAGAAAAATTCAGCTAAAAGTTCTGCATTAGGTAAAGCCAGAAACGTTGATGGTCAAAGGAAAATAATGAATGAGGCCCAGACTACTGTCAACGATAACGGAAACACCGCTGTCGGTATGGTAAACAATGAAAATGAGAGCAGCGGTTCAAAAAATGGTCATAGTGATGGCGCAGTTACAAGTGATGCGTCAATTCATCCCAAATATTCTAATGGTAAAAAGACCTCTAGCAGTGTGATCGATAATACTGCCACGAATAACTTGGTAGATAATAATGATGGCACGATGTCTGACGGAAGTGATGACAATAAAACACCAATTGCTGCAAGGTCGATGCAGAATCTTGTTGCAAAATCAAATACAAGTCCTGATAATAACTCGGATGAAGACGAAAAAAAAAAACAAGAGCAAAATAGACAGTCGAGTGAGGACTCAAGTGACTCAGACGGAGGTGAGCAAAAAAATTCAAATGAAAAATCAGATAAAGAAAAATACCAAAAATCAGATCAAGATTCGAAAGGCTCAGGAATGCTAGGACAGTTAATGAAAAAAACTTATAAAGAAAAGCATAGCAAACCAAATAAGGATTCAGATCAGACTACATGTGAAAAGAAGCATGAAATACAACCTCAGGATTCGCATCATGGTTCACAAGGCTTAGGCAAAATGCTGGAAGATGTAATGAATAAACCATGCAAAAAGAAGCAGGGAGTTTCTGATCAAGGTTCAGGCAGTAATGACGGACATAAAATAAAGAAACCATGCAAAAAGAAGCAGGGAATTCCTGATCAAGGTTCAAATGGTAATCACGGACATAAAATAAAGAGACCATGCAAAAAAAAGCAGAAAGTTCCCGATCAAGGTTCAAACCGTGATGACGGACATAAAATAAAGAGACCATGTAAAAAGAAGAAGGGAGTTCCTGATCAAGGTTCAAACGGTGGTGATGCCGAACAATCAACGGAAACTTCGCCAAATGGTGAGAACGATACGTCACAGGAGAACTTGAATAAAGATTCACAAGGACCAGGCGGAATACTAGGACATGTAATGGAGAAATCATGTGAAAAGAAGCATGAAATACCATCTGACAACTTGGGTCTTATTTCACCAGGGATCGACGGACTGCAAAGAAATGTAATGAAAAAACCATGTAAACAGAAACATACAGTACCACATCACGAGCTGGATCAAGGTTTGAGCGAAGACACCGGTCATTCAAAGTGCTCAACTCGAGAGAAACATAAACACCATCATCACAGGTAGATTATTTAGTATCAATTGCAAAAAATACTTGTGTAGTTAGGACTGTTATTGACCATTTTAATTGAAATGTTCTAGGTAACTTCTCAGTGAAATATGATCACTACTATATCTTCTCACTCATATTTTATGGCAGTACAACATTAGATGATAGATCACTAACGTATGCTCACCGAGGGAATCACAGCTTTGCAAATATATCGAGCATAAATTATCGTTACGCAAGTCCCGGCACAATTGAGAATATCGTTTATATTGAAATAAATTTTTAATTATGACAGAAGAAAATATCATGTATCCAATTTTATATTAAATAAAATATATACTTATATTCAAGTTGACTACAGTCAATCCATTTATAAAAAATGCCATTCAGTAGCCAAAATGGAAGTAGATTTCGTACTTAAACAAAATCACAACACTCATAATTCAAATAGGGGAGAGGTGCTTCAATTGTAACAAGGGGCAATTGTAACACTCAATAAAAAACTATTAAAAAAACTAAAAATTATTATTATTCTTTTTTTAACTTCTTCAAAATAGTAATTTATTGATTAGATCAAAGTTTCAGGTATTAATCTTCAAGCTGAGTCGAAATATAGCAAAATTTTTCAAAAGTTCCGTCATGAGAACCAATGCAATAGTTAGATTTCTATGAAATCTACTAGAAGGCGAATTTGACTGATGTGACTCTTGTTAAGATCTCCAAACCTCAGGTGGGAGGAGGAAAAAAGTTGTTATTGATCTGAATCATTAGATTGTTCAACAACTCCAACAATGGAACAATTACCTTTCAGGTGATTGTTTAAAGTTTCATTCAGTTGCAATAACATCAGTATTTGTTTTCTCTCACCGTGTAATAACAAAAAATGTCGACGGCCTAATCGGAAACAAAGTATCGCTGTTCTTCCTAGTGTTCATGGAACTATATTTATTTGAAAAATGGATCAACTCATCACAAAGTTCCAAGTTTGGAAAATATAAAGACCTGCTCAATTTTGAATACTCACAACGTGAGTATTAAAAATTAATAGTAGTTCAATATATAGAACTGTGATAAATTTTTTTGTATCTACCTGATATTTCCATACATGACAAAATCAAAAAATTTGATCTGTTCATGTCTGGTCTGATATGGTCCATTCCGTCTAATTTTTATATTAGGCCATGTCTGTCTTGATATGGTTTGATAAGTCTTTATATTATGACTTGATAGATCTAAAACGTTTCTTTGATTGATCACAGGTACAACACCAAGATGCATTTCGGAACTGTTTGTTTCATGGCTGCCATGGTTGCTTGTGCTTCAGCAGCATGCTGCATTAAGACCGCTCAAAGCTGTGAACATTCTGGAGGTAGTAGACCTTCTGGAGGCAGCAGACCTTCTGGAGGCATCAGACCTTCTGGTCCTAAGGTAGTAGACGTTGTTGGTGTCAACATTAACAACAAGGTTGGAAACATCCGCGGAATAAACAGCGGTGACAACTTTGTGACCAATGTTGTCAACACTGATATTGCCAGCAAGACAGGAGGTTGCAAGTCGAATAACTGTGGCAAGGGCAACATTGTAAATGCCCTCGGCACCAACATTAACAATAAGATAGGAAACATCGGGGGAATCAACAAAAGCAACAATGAAGTGGTCAATGTTGTCGACACCAACATCAAGTACATGTCAGGAAACACCTTCGTACGTCCTTCAGGTTGCAGCACCTGCGTAAGTGTTGTGATTTTTTATAGTTATCACTGATCAGTTTTGTCGTGTTTTAGTTTTCCGAGATACTAAATGGTATTTTTTTTCTTTTTGTAGTAATCCAACCAATTTCAAGTCTGAGGGATGAGTTAATTGCTTCCCCAGGGGATAATTTCAAAAAAAGTTACAATTTACAACAAAAACATGTCTTCAAATTATCAAATTAGTTGATTTTTATTGTATGAAAAATTAATTCGTGTAATAAAAGTTTTTAGTTAATTTAAAATTTTTCGTTATTGCATCTGTTGATTCAACCAGAGTCAAAAAACAGATCCTAGTTTTAACCTCAAAAGCCTCAATTCCTTTGATGTTTTATTTGCCGCACAGAAAGTAACTCTATTTTGATACTCAAAAACCTCATTGAAGATAGTGAGATCTTAATGTGACCCAACCGTTGATTTAGAATTCTCACTACCACCTCAAAAGTATCATTCAGTGAAAAGTTGTATTTTGGACTTATAAAATTTTTGCTTCACCGAAAAAATTTGAGTTATATTTACAAATTAACATATATCATGAGAAATATGTCACCACTTTAAAAATAGTTTTAATTTAAAACTTAAGACGCCAAACGTAACTCCCTTGTAAGGATTTTTTGTTTAGCCCGAAGAATCTTGTTTTTGAAAATAACCATGAGTAATCATTTTTAACTTCCCGCTAAGAAAATTTAAAATTTAAAAAAATCGGGAAGTTATTGTTTTTACCCCGTTTTTCAAAAATTGAGTTTTCATCAGATCTCGACGTTTTGAGGTCCTAGGGAGCTTCCCTGACTATTCCCGCGATGGTGTACGTGCGGCTGTATGTGTGTGTGTGTGGTTTTTTTTTGGGGGGGGGGAATCCTTTTTACGGATTCTAGGCATAGTTGGCCTGGATATGTGGTGACTCGACGCAGCGTCATACTAATACTCGACGCTAACGCCCCTACCCACTAAACCCTAAACCCCTTTTCCTTCTTTCCTCTAATCCCTCATGGAAACCGCCGTCAGGCATTACTTCGTGAAGGGAGGATCTAGCTACTGCTCTTCCTTCTGGTGGCTAAGATGTTAACTACCTTCCTTCTATCTTCTGCTATTTGCTCTTCTTCTTTCGATGGAACGCAAGTCTTTGAGGACTTCTGTTGCAAACGTGTTGGTAGCGTTCCAGGCAGCTTCTGACGACAACATTGCTTCCACTAGTGAATCTGGTTGCATTCTCTGGTTCAGGATCCTCTCCAACTCTTCACGCTGTGGATCGAAACGAGGACATACAAAGAAGACGTGCTCCGCATCTTCAGCAACTCCTGGGCAGGACGGGCACTCCGAAGAGTCATCGTGCTTAAAGCTGTGTAGATACTCTCGAAAACACCCATGTCCCGACAACATCTGCGTAAGATAGTAATTGACCCCACCGTGATTCCGGTTAAGCCAAATGTCGATCCGAGGTATGAGACGGTGCGTCCACCTACCCTTCTCTGCAGCATCCCATTGTAGTTGCCATCGGCCTACGCTCTTCTGCCGTTCTTCAATTCTAAATTCTTCAGGGCTCAGTGCAGTTGACCTTTATCGTTGGTAGAGGGCCCGTCTTTCCTCTGCTAGAACTCTAAAAGGTAAGGTTCCAGCAATGACGCACACTGCTTCTTCTGATATAGTGCGGAAGGCAATAGCTACTCGTAGGGCACTTAGTCGATATACTGGTCCAGCTTTTCTCCATGATTCTGGGGTTTCCAGTGCATCAGCCCAAATGGATATTCCGTAAATGAGCACTGATGTGACAACTGATGACAATAGTAGCCTCCTGCTCTGCATTGGGCCTCCAATGTTAGGCATCAGCCGTGCGAGACTAGCCCTCACTACTGACGCTTTGGCACTGACATGTTCCACCTGCTGCTTGAAGTTGAGTCGTACATCCAGCATCACTCCCAGATAACGGATAAATAGTTGTGATGTTATTTCTTGTTCTCCGACTCTCAACTTAATGGTTTCTACCGTTTTTCTGCTGGTGATGAGCACTACCTCGGTTTTATGCTTGGCCAGTTGCAAGTTCATCATGTCCATCCACAAATTGACTCATCTGAATGTAATATCAAATGCCATTTCTATCTCTTCGAGGTGCTTT